TTTTGCTTAAATTCTTTTATTGGTACATTTTAGGTATACAATACATTTACATTTATCATTGGGTGTTTGTACCTGTGCATGATGTATCTTAGTTCTTATTTTTTCCCCATTCCCTGTCCTCCCCTCACCCCCTCTACCCTTCCCTATTTACATAGACTTTGTTTCCATTGTTTTCTTTTCTCATCATTTTTCCTTTCCCTTCTTTCCTTTCCCCTTCCCCTCCCACTTCCCCTACCCCTTTGGACCTTTTCTTCCTACTTCAAATTATCAATTATTCATTTTAATCCTTATTTACACCTTCAGTTTCTCACACTAGAGAAACTCTTCTGTATTAACACGTGTGTCCTATTTATTTCACTTAAGAGTATCACCTCAATGTGCATCCATTTAGCTATAACTGTCTCTATCCCTAAATCTTAGTACCCAACCAGTCTATCTTACTGGGATAAGAATTAGAAATGTTGAGGTTTCATAATCTTTACTCTCACCCTCTTATTCCCGTTCTTCCTTCCCATTTTCTCTGATTATCCTGTCAGCAGAAGGAAGCACATAAAGTCTGCCAGGAGAAAGGGACACTGGGTACTCACCCACTGAAATATAGACAATCAGAAGGCTGTGAGACGGGGCACTGTGGAGTGGAAAAGTGGTTTGGATGAGTTTCAGAAGAGGTGGAAAGCGGGGAGATAGGAGTGTAAGGAGGACTCTGGGAAGTTGGCCCCTATGTAATCTCTCTCTTTTCAAGAGATTTCAGGAAATAGTTACACTTTTTCTGTAGACTTTCTAGAGTCAGATTTGTGTTGTTTTCATGTAAAACTTTGCTGATATGGATGGAGTTGAAAGAGAAATTGTGAAGATCATTTTGGTAAGGTTATCCTGAGCAGTTACAAGTAAACATTACTTATAAGTAGTGTTAGGCAGGTTCTTCCCTAGTCACAAGTCACAGTGGCTTCTCTTGAGCTTCCAAGAAAGTGCTGACTCTACCGGAAGGCAGGAGGTGATTGACCCCTTCCTTCCCCTTTGTTTTCTCACCTCCTCTTTCTGCGGCTCTCCCAGGGACTGCCCCTGTGCCACTCAAGTCTTGTACCTGCTCCTCACAGATGCTGTTCTATATTCTGGAAGGTTCCTCTTTCATCTTTTCCTGTTGGAATTCTATCTGTTCATCAAGGCCAGCGATGGCGAACCTTTTAGAGCTTTCAGTGATAACCAACAGCCCACTGCGACACCCATGCCACACAAACTTTTCTCTTCTGATCTTACATCTCATCTGTCCGCACAGAAGACTTCTGCTACCTCCAAAGGCATGGGTGCAGGATTTCTCCTCAAGCAAGCAGTCCGTTCTGCAGGGGATATCAGCGAGGTGTCATCTAATCCAGGTCAATCCCAACATTATCTACC